GTAACATGCAACATGCACATTAAGGCAGAAGCAATATTAATAGACATAATAGTAAAACACTGAAAGGGAACATTTTATTGCACCAGGAGCTATCTTGGGACTTTTACTGTGACAACGTTGACTTGCCTGTGAATAAAGAATAAAGAATAAACAATAGTGTTGGTGATCTACACAGTGTTGTCATTCTTCTTTGAACAGCAAGACCACTAACGCCCTATTTCAACAATCGCACCCCCTGTAATTGACATAATTAAAGATGGTTTAGCTTCTCACCATCATTTGCTGTGGCCCACTGATGTTAGTTAACGATCGTAACTGAAAGGCTGCCTGCCAAACGTGAACATTCAGCCACGTGACTTGCAAACTCTCGCGAGAGTTTTACACTAGACGGATCCTTTCTAGCCATAATCGAAACAGCTCCGTTTAGCTCCAACCGCTGGAGAAGCTGCAGTACATATGCAGGAGCCTGTACGTGGCGCTGTAACTTCCTCCACAAAAGCAGCGAAGAAGCATGGTTGTCATGGTTGCCCTTCTGTTTATTCTGCGGTGGGGGCCGAGGGAACCGGGCAGATTTTTTCAGCAGTCAACGTGTATTAAAGTTTAAATCTTCCGGACAAAATTATAAAAGTGCCAGTCAAAGGTCTTCTTTGTTATTTATTGAGCTTTAAAACAAATGAATAACGATTATAATAATAAAATACACGGATGCTCTCTTTTTCCTCCCTCTCTTCTGACAGCCTCAGTGTCTGTCTCATGCAGCAGCTGATCCAGTAATGAGTGACCCGGCCGACAGTAAAAATAAACATATTTATAACTAGTTTAGGTAGTTTGAGAGGTAATTAAAATAGTTAAGGATGATGATCTGACTTGAAGTGTGCATCACAGCGGGAGGAGCTGCAGGTGAGCAGAGCTGCGTGTCTCCGTCCTGTCAGATTAGACTTCACTCGCGTTTATGTCCATATCGAGAGAAAGATAAATAATCTGAATTCAGTGTGCAGTTTACTTTGACGCGGGGATGAGCAGCAGAGGTGGGTTGAGGCGGGGCTATTGCGTCATCATTATCAGAAAATGCTCGTATAGGCCGTACAGACGGAGCCGTTGGACCCCCCAGAGCGTTGCGTATGCCGTTCTATCCACCTTGGGACCCGTTATCGTATCCGTAGTCGTTTACTGCCATATTCGGTCGTCCTCGTGTGGCCGAACGCCGAACGGTCTATATGACACTAAAATGTAACGGAAACTAACGTATGCGTCCTCGTGGGGCCGGCGCCTTAGAAAACACTTGTCTAATTGTAAGTTATCAAATGGGTACGTTTTATGTTGATATCCTTGCCCCAGAATTTTGAAACCTTTTCACTTCTACCCTTTTAACAAGCTTCAGTGAGCGGGCGCGCGTGTGCGTGTTTTACCTGCAGCTCCAGGGATGATTCTCTCGGGGTAAAGGTCAGTGAGGAACAGGCTGTTGATCAGGGTGGATTTTCCAAGTCCAGATTCACCTTTTGACAAAGGAAAATGAAACAATCACCATGCAGCAAAGTACATCAATAAAACACAACTGCTGAAAATGGAAAAAGGTTAACATCAAGGCTGTCACAAAACCTCCTCTATCAGAGTTGGGTTTGAATGAATAGAACAAAGATCATCCTCACTTCTGCAGGAAACCAGCTCCATCCGGAAATACATTATGATGTTATCTGACACCGAAGTATAAATCTTTGCCAGTTATTTTAATAATAGCCGATGGCCTGATTCCAAGAAAAGGATTGAGCCTTATACCAGACTAAAAATATCTTTCCACTAAAAAACATTGTCGGACCCCCTGAGCTGTGTTTTAGCCGAGGTTTCTGCCTAAATCTGACTGGAAAATCCATGAGACTTCAACAGCAGTTTAGTTCAAACAACAGCAGTGAACAAACTATGACGGTCAGACACTATGAACATGTGTCTAATGGTCACAGAGTTGCTGAAAGTTGAACATCCTAACGCTCGTGTGATGTTGCCAAGGAATGCAGCTACTGCGGTTCCCACCAGAGAAGAGACAAAAGGTTCACACAAGTCTCTGCTACGTCTATGCTATGAACATTTACATTATATACAGTTTCATTTACATGTGGTAAAAGGGAAAAACCTCAAGTAACGTGAAATGATAAGGTTTCAAAGTATATTGTTTTATCTGTAGTGAAGAACTGCAGCTATCTAGGAAACAGGAAATGACAGATTTATGGAAGAAGCCGAGTCACACAGAAGGTTGAATAAGCACATAATGAGTATTCTTGTAGCAGAGGGAACAGCAGGCCCTGTCCACTGTGTCAATGAATCCCTCGAGGCCCACTGGCTACATTCCTCTCTGGTTTATTTTAAAGAAAAGGATGAGCAGCATTCAGGGGAGCTTCTACCCTCCCCCTTACCAACAAGCAGAGAGGTTCACAAAGTCACAGTGTTCACATCAAGAGTTTACACTAACGCTAGCTGAGCAGATACACATATGGGTCATCTGCATATTCTACAGACTTCATTCACACAGAAATAAACCTATGCTTTACTGAAAACTAAATCATTGTTCTGCTATCAGCTTATAAACTCAAATGAACTATAGAGGTGAAGGACTTTTGAACTGAAGTGTAGAACGGACAGCATATTACAGCTGTATAATGTGGGCTAGTGCCTAGTGGCAACATTCCCATCATACATTTGTCACAGAAACCAATTCACATGAGCCTTAAAGCCTGAACACATTCCTCAAATATGCATGTTGACTCTAGCGGGCTAGCATAAACCTTGTTATCACTGAGTACACGATCATATTTCAGACCACATACATTCAGTATTGCATGATGACAAGAAGAAAAGGACAAAACGAGAAAAGGCTCGATGATTCACTCACCTACCACCATCAACGTAAACTCAAATCCTTTTTTGACTGACTTGCGATGAACCTGATTTGGCAGGTTGGCAAATCCAACGTACCCTGGGGTCTCAGGGTTGTTGAACTGGCCCTGCTGTAAATCAAAAGCAAAGTAAAGTCATCAAATAAAAACATATTTTTACTTCTGGACACACTTTTATGTCTAAAATCAAAACAAGATTAAACATGGTTTGGCTATAGATATTTCCAAAACATTATAGCCAGTTATTAGTGCTAGTAGACACCAGTGAGGAAACAGCTGCTCACAAACTCCAAACCAGAATATTGAGGAGGGCTAATAGTCTATTTTCACCCATCATTCCACAGTTTACAGACCTGTCCTACACAGAGCTATTCAGACCAATAGGAACATCCAACATGAAAAGGTACATGTTTCTACTTATTTTAGCCTCACAGTCTTGTAGGATTTATGAAGTATCTTTTGCTCATCCTTTCATCAAAGGTCTTGACTGATGACGAGCCTGATAAGAGGTGTATTTTGAAACTGCCTTGGGGCCTTTCCACCCACATAAAGCGACAATGAGTCATGCGGATGGTGAGCAGCAAACTAAGCATATGTCTAAGTGACCCAAAATTCAACAGTGTATGAACTAAAGCTCTGGATGATTTAAAAGACAGAAGACTTTATCTACATATTCAGAAAACAATACCACGTAAGATGAACTATGTGATTAGTCTAAAAGAAGTAGGAATCTGGTATTACTGCATACTGTTTTGGTCAAGAGGGTCTGTGTTCAGAGACTCACCTTCATTTTGTCAGCCTGAGACATGTTTTCTCCTTGTTAGACCTGAAGGAAAAAGACAGAATGCATCACATAATGTTAAACAGACTCTTATTTTCTACAAATCAGTCCTCTAAAAAGGATCTTTTCTGCATACTTACAAGCTTGACTGTGTGAGAGACAGGAAGTCTGGTTTGTTCTCAGTAACGTTTGTTCGAGTGCTGTCTCTCACCACAAAAAAAAAAAGCTTTTCCTGCTTAGATAGCTGCATTACATCTGCCCCCACTACGAAGCTATGATCTGAGGATTACATATTAAGCCATATTGATGCTATTAACCTCAACTCGTATCCTGTGTTTACTACCTGGGTGTTAGTTGCTGCATGTAGTTAAATCGGTGTGTTATATTCAAACACTCTAAATGAAGTCAAACAGTGAGAAACACACCCACAGCACTCAGACTGAAACTACTGCTATGTATGCAAGTGTACAAGCCTATGGTGCAAGATAGTTTGAGCTAATTTAAAAACAGCTTTGAAAATTAGCGTTACAAGCTGCTAGCTAATTTTCTTAACGTCACGTAAAAAGTTAGCTGACGTAAACGTTACCGTTATTTGAATGGAGATATGTTTATTTAGCGAGCGTTATCATAACGGAAACAACCGGGTGGGTGTGAAGGCGCTGTTGCCGAATTCTTCTTTGAAACACCGTATTTCATTGTTACTTCTTATTCTTGTAACCCAAACCACAGCCATTTACCATGCTAACAGGGCTTGTTAGCTGTTTAGCAAAGTGGTACAAGACAAGCTGTAGCGTTAAGTACTAACTAACGTTAGCAGAGCAGCTAGCTTCTCCTGCAGGATGTGAAAAGCTAATGTTAGCGTCGTCGGTTTAACTGCGATACCGCCATTAACACAGCCCTGAGACAACTTAGTGATAAATATGTCATGAGTTGGAGGAATAAGCAAGTGTTACCTTACAGTGTGTCCGCAGAGAGTTTAGTACAGATAGGGGAACAGAGAGGCTAGCCGACGGTGAACAGCAGACTTGGCGGACACCTCGAATTCCTCAGATTCCGGTGCTGCAGCTTCCTTTAGCACATAGACCACAATGCACTGGGCGCGAGCAGCAGGGCCAACACTACACACAAAGATATGGAAATGTGCTATTAATTGTATCAAAAGATAGCGTAAACTTACAAATATTATATTCAAACGTTAACACGATAGCATCTATATTTGTTTCATGTTGCCAAACTTCTTAAAACTATTCATGGATGGTTAAGCAGAAAACAAATATTTAAAGTATCTTATTAAAGTACAATAAAGTGACTAAATGATTAATGTTTTACTAATGTAGGCCTTTTTTGTATTCATGATGCAAAATATCAAAGACCCCATCGAATAACGTGCTCTAAAATGAAACTCAACTCTGTGTTAAGTCGCTACTACTGAACACTTACTTCAGTTTTGTATATTTTTATTGTACAGATATCCCAAATTGGAATCGATAAATCACTTTTTGGTTTTACTTAAATAATGATCCATATATCTTCTAGTTATTTATGTTTCTTTTCTCTAACATTTTTGCAATTTTCGTGTAAAGAGTTTTATTTCTTGCGCAGTATATATTCAGTCTAGAGCAGGGGTGTAGCCTACAAACCTTTTTCACCGAGGGCCACATACAAAAAACATACGAAGGGTTGGGCCGCTCACTAGAGGTATTTTGTCTCATAAGTTGCAAGTAAGAAAAATCAATCAAATGTAGGTCAATTATGGTTGATATTGATGAAAAAAACACACAGCTCTCCGTAGGGTTTAATTTATTGTGTTGACAGCTCATCCCTTAAAACAGGAGCCTCAGATTGCTTATAATAGGAAATATGAAGGGTATATTTCAAGGTTGTTATTTAAATGTATTATTGGGCTTTTTTCTTATCAACTAAGATTTGTTCGAAAATGTTTTTAACTTTAATTGACTGAATTTATTTAATAAATTGGGCTTATTAACACATGAATGTGTTATATATTTGAACATAATATTTAAGAAGTACAATAGCAGATGTAGTATCTGTATCAACCTTACAGAACGATCAGAATGAAACCCCCATAGAATAATAGATATTTGGTGAGCTGAGTAAGCTGCAGAATGCAAACAATAACAAACACTATTAAGACAGACTACATGCATAGTACATTGTTGGCATGATAACAAATAGATTTAGCCAGCAGACAAATCATCAAAATGCAATTTCCAGAATTCTGCTGCTTCACTTTCAGACTCCTCTTATTGGTCATGCTTCCTCACTGTCACTTTGATTTGCACTTGAATACAACAGAGCCACCGTTAATGTGATTATTGGCACCTGTACTTGTTCTATAAGAAGTCAAAAGTACTGCTGTAAATAAACATATACATTTCTGCGTTAATGTGCTACCATTTGTCTTCCTTGGTCAATTTAAATGAGTAGCCTGATTCTGTCTTAAAACATTACTCATCTTTAAGGCAAAATAGTGTTTATTGAACTTGCAATTACAGATAGAAGTTAGATAATTAACATTGCATTCTTTAAATAAAAGCAAATTATATATTCAGTTATACCCAGTTATATCACTCCACTCATAATGATGAAAGGTTCACCAGCATACATAACAATGAGTTCCAAAAAAAGAACAACCCTAATGTCATTGGCATGTTAAAATAGGGCCTACAATAAATAAAACATATTGTTGTAGCATTAAATGTTTTCTTTGGATTTTCTTTTAGTGATGCCTTCAATAGATTATAGCGTACAATGTTGCTTAGGTGTGCTTTCATATATTTGTCAGACTACATTTGAATTTGCATTAGTAGTTGCATTTTGCGTTAGGGTGCACTCTTGACTGGGCAGAGCAATATTAAGCAGTAATAGTAATGATTTTCACTTTTGTGTTATAATTATGGTGCTAAATAAAGATAGAAAATCAATTGCTGAATTGCCTATAAGAGGCAAGAAATTTCAACGTTTGACAAGAATAATTGATAATGAAACTCAGAACAGTTTGCATTAGCTAACTTTACCTTTTTCCACTTCCTATCCTGTTAGTTGTTCCACCCTTTGATGCTGCATTCAAATGGAACTCCTTAATGGTAAGTTGTGTTAAAGTGATGTGGCGTGGTACATTGATAACAAAGAAAGGTCTCTTTACTTGATTTGAAATAAACAGTCGGTATTTTACAATGGGATACATTCAATTTTAGCCTAATTTGAGCTGTCCTAGTTAGCTAGTTCGTTTGCTCATACAGGGCTCTCGGGGTTAAGCACAGGTAAGAAGCTAGGTTAGCTTGCTAGCTAGCTGTAACTGTTTACTTCAGTTTACTAGCGTTAGCCGTGTTCTTTCTGACTGGCCGTTTCTCGATGTCGAGTAGAGCTGCTGCAGAGCCACTATTTCAAGTATACTACGTCATCGAGTGGCGCCGAAGGACTGTTTAAATGCTGTTTAAATGCTTAAATGCCCAGCATTCGGCGCCACTCGATGGAGAAACGAGTGATGTTTAATATCCAGTTTAGTAGTATAACAAAATAGGAATCAAGCGAGACATATTCCAAGAGTATATAGACTGTGCATCATTCGTTCACGAATGTGGCTCGTTGGTCTAGGGGTATGATTCTCGCTTTGGGTGCGAGAGGTCCCGGGTTCAAATCCCGGACGAGCCCGAGTTTTGCGATCATAAATGACATTGTTAATACCACAGTATAACATAGTATGCTCTAATTGCTTTCAATCTTCTCGTTCGTTTATGCTTGTATTGTTGCAGAAATAGACAAACGGAAGTGACAACCTAATTGGGCACCATCTTTAGATAATTGTTATACTGGTCTCTATGGATGTTGTCATAAAATAGATAGATATATAATGTGTAAGTTACACAGTCATATTTTCTCGGCCGGCATCACATGTCTTTACTTATTCTGTGCATTAGATTAGACTGTGAATATGCTCACTTAATGCCTTTCTGTCTTCCCCCCCCCCCCCNCCCCCCAGTCTGGCTCAGGACAGCCACTGCTTTGCTTAACATGAGTCCAGCTCATATCTCGGTAAATACCACTTTTCCCCTTTCTCTTACAGCAAGCATATCATCGCCACATGAGCTACACTATTTCCATTATTTCCTTAAGCCTCTTAGTGACGACATGCTCTGTCATTTGCTTAGTGGCTTCACACTATGAAGTGAGTTTCCATATATTTTAAGTTCCTCCTTTCTGTACCCATCACCCTGTTTATATGGCTTATAGGCTTTCTCTTCTCCTATTAATAAGAATACAAGTTGCTGATATTTCCCTTTTTTTTTAAAGTGGATAATATAATCTGTAAAGGACCATACCGTAACGTCTTTTCACGCCTTTAGGTACACACATTTTCTGAACCACATGTATTCTGTTGTTTGTTGAGCTAGAAACAACTACAATAAACTGTCACAAACTGGTAACATGATTATAAATAGACAACTCAATCTGCTTTTATTTTATTCATATATTTTGTCAGACTTAGATGTTTTCTTGCTATTACAGTTTATTTAAAAAGTTCAACATTCTGCACAAGGATATCAACGCCTGTGTATGTAAGGGACTGTTGCTTATGGTTAAATAATAAGATCATGTAAGAGTACATTGTATGAGTACCTGTCCTTTATGTGAGTTAAATAGACTGGCTTTTGGCTAGTAATAAAAGGCACAAGTATAGCCTGTTCCCTTCACTATTTGCTTTACTATAATATCACCCAAAAAAGAAGAGCTGTGATAGATTATCATACCTGTCAAGCACTTGTTTGTATTATATGTTTTCTTCTCTCCACAATAAACGGAACAGGTAATTAAAACTGTCCGAAACACTGAATAAAAACAATTTCTAGTGAAAAATCTGTATTCCTCTAACGCTTTTCTGCTGCCATGAATATTTGTTCCGCTTTTTTTAACTGAAAACTTTAAAATCCAGACGTCTAATGACTTCAATCCTTCATCTATAGTTAGAAGTTGAACCTTAAGAAACAGAAAAATTGTAAAGTGTAAGATGTGGTCCAAAACCATATAGAAGTACATCTTTGAGACCTTAAACTGACACATGTTCAAAGGGGATATGATGCCATTACAGGTTACTAAATGAAACACACCATAACCTTGAATCAAATTACATTTGAAAATTGCTAAAAACATTTAGTATAATATAATCACACAAATCAACAACATGTATAACACAGGTTTAGTATTTTTTGGGATTTTTATGCGAAAATTATAAATATTCTTTCGTAAATAGTGTGTATAATTCAGTTTTGTTGTCTGCTGAAATGTGTAAATCATGTCAAATCTAAGAAAATAAACGGTTTCAGTCTGTTCACGCAATCATTTTTTTTTCAATGCATCGGAACTGTAATGAGAAAAAACCCTCTCACCCCTGGCTCAATTTCCTCCCCCCCCATCACCCCATCGTCATCACCCCCTTAACCAGTCTGTCATTTAAAGTAAGCAGCCGCCTGCTTAGAGACGGCACCTTTCACTTCTCAAGCAGGACTTAATTTACCGCCGGACATTTTAAATCTCCTGCTCTGTGCGCTGAGTCCCTGACAGATGCCTGGTTGCAAATGTATCTCATTGACTGCTGACTCGGTCGTATTACAAGCTGGCTGATAGGGGCCGCCGCAGTAATGTGGCCCTCAGGTTTATCCTCACATGTTGGAGGAAGTGTATTCATTTAGTTCAGATGGGGCCTTATGAAAGCCCTCCTCTCAGGATTGACGCTATCTGCCGCAGAGCCGGAGCATATTCCAGCATCAATGTGTCAGAGGGAAAGCTATTAAAACCGCTTTACTTTTCCTAAGTATCACCAGAATAAGCACACGATTTAGTGAAATCCCCCCCAGAGCAGAGCAAATCGGGGATTTTCCCCCTGAAATGTGTCCTAATGGGCTGCTCAGAAGTGTCAGAAACTCTTGTTTGTGGATTTATTATTGCTGAAGAGACAAAATGTGAAGTATGGGTGCTTCTGAACTTTTCATATAACACAATAAATATAATTCAAACCTAAAAATAGCTTTAGTAACCATTACTTTTTTTAACTAAAAGCAAGTTAGGATTCTAAC